TTTCCATATTCTCATTTGTCCCTGAGGATAAAGAGAAGACAACCTTAACCTGTCCTTTTGGAACATTTGCTTATCAAAGAATTTCATTCGGATTATGTAATGCTTCAGCTACATTCCAGAGATGTATGTGGCAAAGGTCTTTTATTCCGCGCCACGCCCTCACCACAGGTATCACAAAGCATACCATAAACGTACAGACAAGAAAAACAACAATCACACCACAAATCGCATAAATGTATACCAAAAAGCTTATAAAGTAACCCAGAACATCGCCACACTACAAAATTCATAAAGCATGCCAGAAAACTCAAAGTCGGCCATGAGTTTCCTAAAGCAAACCACAAACCTCATTAATTAGACCACAAGTTCCCTGAATCAGACCATAAACCTCATAAAGCATACCTAAGTTCTGTAAAGTAGACCAGAAACCTCGTAACATACCACAAGTTCCCTGAAGGAAAACATAAGTTTTCTAAAGCATACCAGAAATATTTGCAACCATATTTCTCATGAAGCATACCAAAAAGAAGAAAAAACACACTAGACACTCATGAAGCAAACTGGAAACATTATAAATGATAATAAGGTAATAAAAAATATTATAATGGTGAAACAATATTTTTATAATGGTGAAATAAATTTTGTACAACTAACTTGCTATTTTTTTACGCAAAGAGAAGTCGAAGCGAGGTAGAGGGCCGGAGGCAGAGAGCAATAGTAAAAAGTGGCAGGGGAAGTAACTGTTATGAATGGTAGTTATTTTAGCACTTAACATGAAGCTAACACTAAGTGGATGTTATTGGCAACCAAATTTTTTGTATAGAGATGTCCCGTTCCAAAAATTTGTTGGGCCCTGGCCCATAGTCGTCTCGACATGACAGAACCAAAAGCCTACTTCTTTAAGCCCAAGCAGCTCCTCGGTCAACTTCGAGACTTCCAAAGGCGTCTTCGCCTTCATTCCTATCTCCATCGATCAAACACCAAAAGGAATCAACTTGCAGTTGATTATCATCGGCAATCAATCCCTTCAAAGCCACTGTCAACGGTCATGTCATTGAAGAAGAAAGAGAGCAAAGACGAGGATCGAAAGCCTACTTAAAGACCACTCGAGGAAGAAATGAGCAACGGTTTCCTATCTCAGTAAGAGCGGAGTAGTTCTTTGGGAGATCAGGTTAGGGTTCAGTCTTAGTGTCTGGAGAGCTTGAGTTGGGGCGTTCAGCCAGGAACTCAACCTTATCCGGGCGTAGCTCTTGATCTTGTCCTTGTTACTTTAATCGCTCTTCTTTACCTTTGTGAGAAATGTTCTTGAACACTTGATTGGAATCTGATTAGGTTTTCTCAGTGTTACCTATTGTCTTTATCAATCGAACTCAATTGAATTGAATAAAAGTCTCTGTCTTTTTTATCTTCTCATGTTAGAATGATGGGGTAGGGGTAGCATGTAGGCGTGTTGAGAACAAACTTTCCCATTTTCTCTCTTTATTTCAAAACTCTCTGCCCTCTCTAACTTTTCCCTTTTCATTTTTCAACAAGGGCCGCCGTCGACTCCCAAGTGGCTAACGGTGGCCCAAGAGATCTCCTCTTCCTTTTTTCTCTTTCTTTCCTTTTCTTTTTCAACCACTTCTTGCGCCTTCCAACCATGTTTGTTGTTTTCCATTTCCTTAAGTTGAGTCGGATCCACAAACCACATGTTGGAGATGATTTTCTTTTTTCTCAATCTGTGTTTCTCTATTCAGCCGCTGGTCTGTTAGGGTATGGATTTTTGTACTGCATGGTTTGCCTCACTCAATGTGTTGGGTGGTTCGGCGCTATCCATGTCAGGTGTTTTCAACTTTGTCTTTTTTTTCTTCTTTGTTTTAGCTTTTCTGGTCATGCAAAGGCCTTTTCTTTTCCCTGTTGTGGTTAGTTTTCTTCTTCCTCCGAAGGGATCATTGGCCTCATGTTTGTGGGTTGAATTTTTTGTCCTCCGATCTGGTTCCCAGATCTGGAGGTGTTTGCTCGGTTCAAGATGCGATGGAGGTCGCATCTAATTTGGATCCGACTTCTCTTCTCATCTCTCTCCTTTGGTCTACCTCCTTGTTTTTCCTTGCATATCTTAGCGATTTGGAGATGCAGCCCTTGGCGTGGATCCGGTTGGGCGATCTCGAAGATAGATGTAATCTAACTCTCTGTCTCCTCCGCTGATCATCTGGTTGCTCTATTGGTTCCCCTGGACTTTGACGGCGGTCTGGGGTGGGATTGTCGGAGGTGCTTTCCTCCTCTTCTTGCCTTCCGGGTTCGGGGGTGCCCCATTTGTACAAGGCTGGCGGTGGCGAAGTTCGGTGGCTGGCGGTGCTAGGCTCGATGCGGTGGTGGTCCTCGGCCAAAATACAGAGGGTCGTGTGTGGATAGGGTTGGGGAAGGGCTCATTCTTGTTTTGCCCTGGGCCAGGCCTTATTGGATTGTGAGGATTGTCTTTGGCCTGGTTATTTGGACCTTCTTTTCAATCGTATTACATTGTACGCTTGTACATTTCCTTTTTGGGCCTCGCCCAGTCGTTATCTTAATGAACAACCATTTCAGTAAAAAAAGTATCAGAGGTTAATTTGTAGCTTTTGGAAGAAAAAAGGATAAGGGTTCGTTGTGTTATAATTATGTTTATATTTTAGATAACGGAATAAATGAAGGATAGTTTAATGGAGAACATGTCTATTAGTGTCATACGTTCAAATCACATTTACTATGAACTTTTTATTTTCTTTTTCCCATATTGGAACTACTATTAGGAAATATTCAGATAGATAATTGTTTTTTCGTCTGTGTCGCACCTAGTTAGCACCTATTCGCTGCCCATTACAAAAGCTAGTTAGGATTAATCTGATTAAAAACTATGCTCTACCGAATTAAACGGGAGCGTACAATGGCTTGATCTAGTGATAGTACCACAGTGCAGTCAAAATCCTGTTTTAAAACTTAAAAGCTTACGATTTTATGCTTCTAGGTCACCAAAGCGCTTTCGTTTCCATATAAAATCTTTATTGTATAAACTCGGATTAAATTATGCTATAAAACTTAAAAGCTTATGTTTCACTCTTCAAATTTACCAAACGTTTTACGCTTTTATGCTTCTAGTTCACTAAATGGGTATTCTTTTCTTGAAGTTAATTATAAAATTATATTTTAAAAGTAAATCACCAACAATATGATACATTTGAGAGTAAGAGATACATATCACGTACGTTGATGCATTCTCAGCTTCAATAAAGTAATCTAATTCACCAGTTAGACTATTCCCCAATTCATTAGCATAGAGGGAAATGTGGCTTTTTATTAAGATCTATGTTTATGAACTTATATTTAAGATGCTATAAGTTGCTCTCTAATATATTTCGTACTTAACATATTTTAAGCTATTTTATAGTATGCATAAAAAACCTGAATAGCTATTTATCGCCCTAAAATTTAAATATTTTCGCCCTAAACCATATGAGAATGACGTTGATGCCCCTATCCCAAATTCAAACCCTAATCTCTAAACAAACACAATTTCACCCAATCTCACCCTCTGCTCCTTATCGTCCTGTCCACCCGCCGGATCTCGGCACCCGCTGCCGTTTGCCAACCCGCCGTCATAGTTAGTAAAATACGGTACGGGAATGTTACGTATAAAATACGTACGGGTATTTTACTTCGTCTGTATGCTAATGTTACGTTTAATAGTACGTTAATTGTCATAAATATAGAAAAATTAATCATTTTAAAAATAAATAAATATATAAATAATAGTAAAGTTAGTAATTTAATTCATTAAATACGGATATTAAACGTGTTATACGGGTTTTATACGTGTTTAATACGGGAGCCATCAAATGAACAGACAAAAATGAAACGGCTTGACAATAATACGGATACGGAAGTTTTAAACGAATAAAGTACGTACGGGTACATATACGTGTATCAAACGGAGTATTTACTAACTATGCCCGCCGTGACTCTGATCCCCCAACTTGCCATCGTTGCATTTCCCCGAGCCGGATTCTGGCTGTTGTGGCCATTCCCCCCAACACCCAGCACACAGTCGTTGCCATTCCCCCCCACTCCGCCGACCCGTTGTTGTTGCTGATGAAGGAGAAAGAAGAAGCAGGAGGAAAGAGGAAGAAGGAAGAAGGAAGAAGAACGTTGCCGCTTGGTATGCCGAGAAGGAAGAAGAAGCTGACCGCCGGAGTTCAGTTTTTTTTTCTTCGATAATCCCAGTCAATTTATAATTTTGTTTATTGTATTTGTTTTTTCGTTGAATTTGTTTTTTAGTGTATTTGTAATTTAATTTTTGAATAATTTATTCTTTTATTTGGTATAGTTATATGTGTTTGGTTAGTGTTTATATTTTTTGAAAGTCAAAAACTAAATAAAGGGCATTAGAGTCATTTTAATAAGAGTTAGGGCGACAAATAAGCTATTTTAGGGCGACGGCCGACGAATAGTAATACCCTAAAAACCTTATGCTTTTACACTTTGATTCCACACTTTACAATTTTATCTCTTTTTCGCTTGTAGATAAAATCGCGCCTGTGACTGCATTTACATATTCTCCACCTAACTAATAATCAGTCTAGATCACCGTATAAAAAATTATAACAACGAGGAATTCATTATTTAAAAAAAAAAAAGAGAGAAATCCCCTGCTGTGAAACGGAAATACAGAAGAGCCTTAAAAACAAAATAATAAAACAGAAGATCACGGAAACCTCCATCTGAACTCGATATCAACGATCAAAGACAGATATCCATAGCTAGAAGCCACTAGCTAAGAAGCTCCAATGCCAGCCGGCAAGTCATTATCCATCACGGATATCCCCTCGTCACATTCTGAATATATTCCCAAATGCTAATTAAACAGAACCAAGAACAAGCCGGCCAACTGTCTTAAAACACAGAAACAATCAATCCCGTTCTATAAAAGCCATAGCCAGGATGACTTAAAACACAGAAACATCACTAATTTGGTAAGTGCGGCAGCAGCCATGAATGACCCAAAAATTGTCCTGGTCACGGGTTGCGGCAAAGGCGGGATCGGGTTCGAGTACTGCAAGGCATTCGCCGAGCACAATTGCCACGTCATCGCCACAGACATTCCTAGTCGTGTCGATGACATGGCAGAACTCAAGGAATCGTTGGACGACAAGATCGAGACCTTCGGTCTCGATGTCTCTTCCGACGAGAGCGTACATTCAACGATCACAGATGTCATCGCCAAGCACGGTCGCATCGACATACTAATCAACAATGCCGGGATCGGCAGCACGGGTCCTCTAGCCGAGCTGCCGCTAGACGTGATCAGAAAGGCATGGGAGATCAACTCACTGGGGCAGCTGAGGATGGTGCAGAGCGTGGTCCCACACATGGCGTCGCGTCGCCAAGGGACCATTGTCAACATCGGGAGCGTGGTGGGCAAAGCGGCGACGCCATGGGCAGGGTCTTACTGCGCTAGCAAGGCTTATGTCCATGCCATGTCGCATAGTTTGAGGGTGGAATTGAGGCCGTTTGGGATCAATGTTGTGCTGGTGATGCCTGGTTCCATAAAATCCAACCTTGGCAGGGCGAACACGGAGAAATTACAGGGGGTTCATGATTGGAAGATTTACAAGGATTTCAAGGAGGCGATTGCCGAGCGAGCCAGGGCTTCTCAAGGGCCGAAGGCGACGGATGCGGCGGTTTTTGCAAGGGAAGTGGCTAAGAGGGTTTTGAGGGCTAAGCCATCGAAGTTGGTCACGTTGGGTCACATGACTGGTCTGTTTGCTCTGCTCTCTGCCTCTCCCTTGTGGGTCAGAGATCTCTTCTTTTCGAGAAGATTTGGCCTGAACAAAAAGGTTTGAGACAATTTACCCATGAGAGAAATGTTTAAGGCATCGTTGCTATGTTTTTGAAAAGGATGTGAAGATAAGTTGCTTTAATGGAACATGTAAACACTGAGTTTTTTTTAACGTACTCTTGAGTCTTGAAATATCACAGTTTGATGACTAATAATTGGTAAGCAAACGGGAAAGGTTGTGCAGCGTAAGTACCATTCGTAAACCTCTTGAATATCCCATTTAATGTGCAATATGATGATTGTGGTACAAACCAGATGTGATTAAAAAAAAAAAAACGGTTGAGTTGTATTTTTATGGTCACTTAATTATAAAACTATATTCGTCGCAAGTGTACCAATTGTGTCAATAGTTTGACGGTAGTCTGTAAATATGGTTGTATCCACAAGGACCAAGAGTGCTAGTATTGAACTTTAAATTATTATTGACTCGCTGTTACTGTCACCCTAGAAAATGGCCAAGTATAACCACTTCCTAAAGCGTAGTATAGCGGGTCGGGTTTTAATGTCAACCCGGGTCCTAGATGTGATGACTACTCAGTGAATTCGTATTATCTAGCGATGAAACTTTAGTGAAGGTCTAAACTAACAAGCAAGCAAAGCAACTAAACGGTTGTATTCAGGTTAAGAGAGGTCACCCGGATATGGTTCCCCCTAGACTGCAGTTAAGCTGGATTGTAATTGCCAAGTTCGATTTCTATGAAAGTTATACTGCGGAAGGTTCTCAAACAGTCTGAAGTCTCGACTAAAGGTCTTCAGACCCTCTCAATCTGAGTCTCTAGCTGGCGACTAACCTACACCGGAGTAAACAGATTGAGGCCCTATGAACAAAACCTCCACTACCGAATTGAATTCGGTACAGAATAGTGAATTGGCTCCTCGACTATAGTCACCAATTCACTACCTTCGATTAAGGATACTCTATCAACCTAGGCAGATATTATCATTCTAGGTTAAAGCAGAAACAACAGGAATTTGATCAGGATTCATGCCATTCAATCATTGAAAACCTCAATCGAATATAATCAAATCATAGAAATAGTACTTGGGTTCATACAATCAAACCTAACATACAGAACTAGGGTTTCCCATACCCAGATGAATGGGGGAACTACTCCATGAAGAGAGAAGCAAAAGCAGAATCAGACGCGGAAATCATACTGTGAAGATGGATTTCTGCTCCTGGACGTTGAATCGGCACTTCTCCAAGCTCAAGCCAAGCTCCAATGGTGTTGAAGATCAAGCTAGGGCACTTGGAGACTCTTGTTCGTCGCTTTCTCTCTCTAGGAACCGCTCTGTCTCTCAAAAACTCGAATCCCCTTCTGTTTGGCTCGGAATCCGCTTAAAAACCAGAATTTCCCGACTCGCACGGCCAGGGTGCACGGCCGTGCATATCACCATTCTGGCCGTGCGGCTCAAAACGCGGCGTACCATTAAGTCGAACTTCAGCCATCTCGCACGGCCAGGATTGCACTTTGCACGGCCGTGCGGATTTCACTTGTGCCCGTGCATGCTCTCGCACAATCCCGCACGGCCAAACTGGTCACTTGCACGGCCGTGCGGGTTTTCTGCTCTGCCCGTGCGTGCTCTCGCACAATCCCGCACGGCCAAACTGGTCACTTGCACGGCCGTGCGGGTTGTGGGTGTGCCCGTGCGACTTCCTCAGAACCTCGCCATGCGTCCGATCCTCGTCCAATCGACCTCAAACTCGCTCCCAAGCCTCCATTCACGTACTAGGACCTGAAATATCATAAACAAGCACAACCTAGCGTGAAATCGGCCTAAAACACGAGAATCAATACCTCAAATGGAGTAAGAGCAGGGGTAAAAACATGTGTAACTAACGGTCTATCAAACTCCCCCACACTTAACCGTTTGCTTGTCCCCAAGCAAACCTATCTCAAACCAATGCAACTCTCCAGACCTCTGTAGCAACAAACAACCTCGATCGTAGGTAGAGGACTTCCCAGATCATTTAGCAACTTACGAGGTCAACCGACGCACAAGTCATCTCATAGCTTCTTCGGCGAGAGCACTAGTCTCGAGTCAGCATCATGGCAAATAGTGAACAGAGGACAAATGAATCGTGGATGAGGAGACTCTCACAAACAAAAGATCATGGACTCACATTCTTCAAGGTGCTCGATTTTCTTCTTGGAGATGGTTGGAACCCCTTTTCTTTCTTCTTTTTGCTTGTTTTTCTGTTTCTCTCTTTTTTTTCAAGGGTTCCAACCCGTTTTTGCAGAAAACGGGGGCTCCCACCTAGCAAAGGTTTTGCGGGAGCCCGGCTCTTACCGGCCATGCCAGGAGCAGTTGTCTCGAGCCTCGTGCGGGGGAAAGACATGTAAGGGGGCTGGAGGTAGTAGGTGGAAATTGGGAACGGATTCCCGTCTCCCCTTACACACTTTCGCCCTATTCGCACGGGAGACGTAATTTTAAAGCGCATTTTCGAGCACCTATTATATTCAAAACATGATACAAGAGTCCATGACAAGCAGAGAGTCCACAACACCACACAATTCAAGGGTCCTAAGATCACTAGTTCACTCAATCAACCAACACACTATGAAGAAGAAATGAGACTTCTTAAATGCATCAACATCCTCCATAGTGCTACACTACCTCCCTAGGTTGCAAACCACTACAGAGACTGTCAATTCAAAGCATACTGAGCAGGCAATTGCAAGGAACACGTACTTGGAGCCCTCAAATTAAAAATTTGGACAGTGGACTAGGCTCCAAGCACACAAACAGATCTAATGCAGTCAAAAGATAAACACCCCCCCACACTTAAGATCGACATTGCCCTCAATGGAGAAGAGGGAAAGAAAGGGGAACGATGTTACCGGTATGCACAGACTGCAAAAGACTGGAAATGGACCAGTCAGGATGAATCGGACTGGAGAGAGGACCAGTCGAGAACACAGGCACGACCAAAGGAAACCAAAGAGCTCAAACACGATATGTTAGGTCCAATGGTCAGCCCAATAGTACATCATCCAAAACAAAAGAAAACAAACCAAATCGCAATCCGACTCGAAACAAAACAAATAAATGAACCATGGTGGGGTTGCCTCCCCACAAGCGCTTCTTTACCGTCTTTTAGCTGGACGCCCGGTGGATACTCAAGGAGGTGCAGGAACAGGTGCCTCCAAGAGCGGATCCACGTCGCTCTTGAGGTACAGCTTCAGGTGGTGACCGTGCACCCGACGGTTGCAACCACCAGCAGTGGTTAGCTCGACCTGGCCATCCGGCAAGATGCAGGCGAGTGAGTACTCGGATGGCCAGGGTGGTCGTGGTGCAGGGGGTGGAACCAGCTCGTAGTGGTCTCCACCTTTCTTCCGTGCAGGCTTAGCCACCTGCGGCTTCGGTCGCCACTCCTCCTTGAGCTTTTTGTTCGGAGGCGAGACTGGATGGAGTGGCGGCGAAGGAATGATAGGCGGGTCCTGCAAAATGAGAGGTGCAGAAGGATACACGACAGGCTCGTGTACCTGATCAGAAATAGCATGCACAGGCGATACAGAAATCATAGCACAATGATCAAACTCAGTCACAGGAAAAATAGCCTGTTCATTTCCAGCACGCAAGATCAGTTGACCATCATGCACATCAATCAGTGCCTTGGCGGTGGCAAGAAATGGTCTACCTAGAATCAAAGGCACATCCACATCATCATTTATATCCAGAATAACAAAATCAACAGGATATGTGAATGCACCCACATTAACAAGCAAATCTTCTATGATACCCCTAGGATGCACCACGGAACGATCAACTAGCTGAATGCTCATCCTAGTAGGGCTAAGTTCACCTAGGTCTAGCTTTTTGAACAATTTATATGGCATAACATTAATGCTAGCTCCTAGGTTCGCCAAGGACTTTCCTACATGCATGCTGCCAATAGTAAGAGGGATAGTAAAACTCCCTGGATCCTTGCGCTTTTCGGGCAGCTTGTTCTGCAGGATGGCAGAACACTCCTCGCTCAGCAGCACTGTCGAGAGATCCCCAAGTTTCTTCTTGTTGGTGCAGAGATCTTTCATGAACTTAGCGTACTTGGGCATCTTCGACAGTGCCTCCACAAATGGTACGCTGATGTTGAGCTGCTTCAACATTGCCATAAAATTGGCAAACTCAGTCTCCAGCTTGTCTTTGTGAAGGCGAGTGGGGAAGGGAAGCTGGGGTACGTGCTCCTTCACCACTGGTTGTGGCTTGGGAGCAGGGGCTTCCTTCTCCACCCGCACTTCTGCATCACCGGCTGGAAGTGCTGAAGCAGGTAGTGGTTCCTCCTGCCTGGTCGGGGCAGGATCAGCTGATGTAGGCCTGCCGCTCCTGGTGAAAATGGCACCCAGCTGCTCGTGCGGGTCCCGTGGATTGGGGACTGTGGTGGCAGGTAGAGTCCCCGGGGCCCGGGCAGTAAGTTGGCGCGCTAGGGCACCGGCTTGGTGCTGGAGATCTTGTAGAATAGCACCCTGGTTTCTCTGGCCTGCCTCCAGGGTTCTCTGGCCTGCCTCCAGTGAAGCTATGGTCTGATCCATCCTCGTGAAACTTGCCTGGCTGGTGGTCATGAATGCCGCCAAAATGTTCTTCAGCTCGGTCATCTGATTATCGGGAGCTGGCGCTGCTGCTGGCTCGGCATACTGACGCTGAGGCTGCTGGAATGGCTGCCCTTGCCTAGGCTGGTAAGGCTGCTGCTGTGGTGGTGGCCCCTGCCTAGCTTGGAAGGGCTGCCTCTACTGAAAACCGCCTGCTGGTGCTGGGAAACCAGGTGGTTTGTTGGTGTCACTGCTCAAGGCAAAGTTGGGATGCTGGCGCCATCCCTCATTGTAGGTACTGCTGTATGGGTCCAGGCGCCGAGCATTGGCGATGAAGTCCACCTGCTCTTGGGGAGTAGAAGACTCCCTCATAGACTGACAATCCTCCACGAGGTGATTCGGGCTCTCACACCACTGACACTGAGCTACTGGAGGCGTAGCTGCACCTCGGCCCGGAAGGAGACCGTTAGGCTGC